TACATGGGGCGCCAGCTCTACAGGGTGAGCTATCAGTACACCCCATCACAGTTTTTATATAGAATAATCACAAACATATAATTGTAAGAAAACAGAAAAATATTTATTATATACATATAAAACATGTTTTGAGTTTCATTTCACACCTTTTTGTTTTACTACCATAAAATTCCGATAGTGTGGCGTCGGAGGTTCGATAGTGTTTTCTGGATGCCGTCGATGTGGAGAAGGACAATGTAAGGAATAGTGGCGATGAAAATAAAAGGAATTAAACCATTTTAAATAAGATAAGGAAAGGTGTGGGGTCAAAACTTTTGACTGGTAGTGTATATTTTTGAGGCAATTTAGAACCATTGCATTGCATAGTTTGTCCACCAGAAAGCACTAACAAGTTTAATTTTCAACTGTTAAATGTCCCACTCTGTACATAGCTTTGTCGTGATTCTTTTATAGCGAAACTAATGGGATCCTCGTCAAAAATGATACGTTGAAGTTCAAATTCCAGTATTGGTCAAACTCTGATTATCTCATTTTGTTCCAATAATATGGAAAATAATGATTTTATGGTAATTGTTTGTATTATTAGTTCACATTATTCAGCATTATCTGTAATCTGCCAACACCTTATTGTCTTGTGCTGCCTCATTTGAATGAAGCTTCAATGTCTTTGACCCTGTCCTCCCAGTTTTGCACCATGAGCGCCTGACAATACCAACGAGACAGGCCAGAGGCAATGGATGAATACATGAATGCACAGATGGAGGACTGTGTAGCAGTGTAACAACACTTTACACTGTTACTCATTCTCTGCTTTAATTCCTTCCTGTGTTAGTGTGCCTGCTCATTGTGTTTAAGACATTTGTTTGGCCCCCATGGAGAAACTGGGATATTGCAGCATCAATAGTAAGATGATACAGCAAAGAAGAAAATAGAACAGCAACTAAAAATAGAACATAAACATTCGAGGTTATGCAAGCTGATGCAGCTGATTCAACACTCTTGTGAGCACCCACTCAAAAATGATGGCAATTTTCTGCAAAGAGACAGTAAAACATTACTGACTGCACTTTTAATGCGTTTATATTACTCACATGAATTGAGTTGCTCTTATTTTTCTGATGGCGGAATAACAAAAGCGAAAATGGATTCTAGTAGATGCATGGATCTGATATGCCGTATTGGTACCAGCACAGATTCTGGCTTTATTAAATATCAGCAATGACCTTTCTAAGCTATATTAAAAACAGTTTGTCAATGCCATTTTAAAACTCAGTGTTTCTGTTATCAGTTGCATTTATTCTGTCACAGCCAGCACATTTTCTACTAATGCATGGTAGCGCCGACAATTACTTAAAATATTGTCTCAAAATTGCAATTTGGCCAAGTGCAATATGCAAATCACAGAAGCTGCAATTTTTGGATCAATGTAAAATGTGAGACAAACAGCATTGTAATGAAGTAGAGTAGTTCTGAAGAGATGCCCTGGTCTACAAATTTTCTTCTATAAAACATGTTTGTTTGGTACAGACTCCAAAAAAACAGGCTTACGGTGACAATACTAACATTTTTTTTAGCAGGTATGATGTTCACAATCTTATTCTAGCATGTTAGCATTATAAGATTTTCTAATTATCATTAAACACTAGTGACAAACAGCTCCTCTTGAGGTTGGCTGTGATTAGTGATAAGGCCCCACGTTAATGGTAACTTTACAGCAGACATAAACATGTTTACA